AATGGGCCTGGTGCCCAAGGCTGATATTCCAAAAGAAAATATTGAGGCCGGGGTCCTCACAGTCTGCCCGGAGAGACCGAACCAAACTTACTGAGAACCGGGCTTAGCGTCCCTCCTATAATGATGATAATGATCCTGATGATGAAAATAATGATGATGACTCTACTGATGATGATCATTCCGACTATGCTATATCACCTATTCTGGCCTCCTGAACCTAGAGTAACACCTGACCTTCCCTATACCAGAACAAAGTTACTCAGAAACAATACCATCCTAACCAACGTCACCCATTGCTGATTTCTTCTCGCCACCTAGCAGCCCCCCCCGATTCGCCACTGAATTGCCTTCCTCCCTCGGCAACACCTAGATCTCTCTACAAGGCCTCACACTCCTGCGATTTGCAAGTTACAGGGCAACACCCCAGCTCCGGCAAGCGTCGTTCTGGCATCGGCGGACCAGGGGCACAGAACAGAGCAACTCTGTTGACATCAGTCCGGGTTCTACCATCTCTGAGCGCCTATACCCCAGATAAGGACAAAGGTTAGATGCTGCCAGAATCCAGAAAACCAGAAAAAAGATGATACTAATGATGATGATGATGATGATGATTAATCTGATGATGATTATGATGATTAGTATTATTACTTGTAAGAATGGTCTCCCCCTCCCCCTCTTTTCCACCCTGTCCCAACGCTGCCTCCGCTGAAACGGATTACCAAGAATGGAAGGAACCTATCACAGCCCCAACACAGGACAGTCCCACCTCCCCCCCCCTTAACCCACAAAGGCATATAGTTCCCTCCCAAAGAATACCTCTGTCCTCCCTTTACCCTATACTGCCTCCGCTGGTGTGAGTATCCCCACCCCAACCCCAGAATAAGGTAACCCACAAGCTCTGCTCGCACCCCCTCAAGGGCTACACCTCCCTCCTTCTGTCACCCCTGTAGAGTGAAGCTCTCCCCTGATCCCCCTTTTCCAACCATCAGAAATGAAAGCGTATACTCTAGGAGGAGCCTTCTGAAAACAGGAGTCCAGTTGTCATTACGATATCAAGAACCAAACTTGCATTACGAACCATAAGAAATTACGCAGAAAAAAATCAAGAAATTTTTTGAAGGAAAAGTTCTGAGTGAAGACTGATTGGAGAAATAGAGAGAAATCAATTAGAAATTTAGGTATTTAAAGAAATACCTTTATGGTTTGTTTTAGAGGAAAAAGAAACCAGGATTTAAAGGTGATGAAGATGGATAGCGATTGAGAATATTTAGGAAATTAGTTACGGATATTATTAAAATTGATTAATTAAAATAGTGATTGGGTTGATGATAATTAGTTGATTGGATAATGAATAATTAATAAAATGATAAGTTGGGAATATAAAACTGATTGTAGAAAAAGAAGGAAAGCGAAGAACAAAATTAGTAAGTATTAATGAATCTACCTACAATGATGAAAATGATTATTACGCTGCAAAGACTGACACGACGCGAAGTAAATCTTTCTCCCCCATCCCTTTTCCTCTTGCAATCCCAATCCCCCCGCTTGTGCAGGGCCCCGTCAATTCCTTTGAGTTTCAGCCTTGCGACCGTACTCCCCAGGCGGAGTGTTTAACGCGTTAGCTAGGTCCCTCATCGAATCGCCCCCAAAAACCACCAGGCGTAGACCAAGGACCAACACTCATCGTTTACGGCATGGACTACAACCTCCTCACCTACTACCTCTCTCCTTTTCCCACTTCTCTCCCTCCTTTATCTCCTCCTTATTCCTACCCCACCCCTTCCCACCCCCTTCCTTCCTCCACTTCCACCTATTGTCACCCCACTGTCCTCCTCTTCCTTCCTGGACGAGGCGGCGGGGCAAAGCCAAAGCAGAGCAGAGACAGAAAAGGAGAAAGAAGAGGAGAGAGCGAATAAAGAATAAGAAGAATAAAAAGGAGGGCAAGAGGAGATTAAAGGGAAGAGGCAGGAGGGGAAGAAAGAGGAAGGGAGATCACAGAAAGAAAATAGAGTGAAGAAAAAAGAAGTCGAAACCTTACCCACATCCATCCGGAAATTGGTGCTAGTAATGCTGATGATGATAAAGATGATAATGACGATGCTATTACCAAAGATCAGCCCTGATGAAGACACGGATGAAAAAAAGATCATCAGACGGTCCGAAGGAGAACATTCCCGAGTCGAAGCAGCTTCCTCGTGATTAGATCATTTCGACGCTCGAAGAGTCCGCGCACTCAATGTATCCGGTCGATCCTCCTTCCCCTCCATGTGACAACATTCTTCTCTTCTCCCCTCGCGGCTAGCCGACCTTCCTCCACCAAAACCCGCGAATGAAGAGCCAGAATGATACCTCAAAAAGCTTGGCTTCCAACCGGAAGTAAGCTCCCCTCCATACGGAACGCTAGCCTGCAGCATTTCCTAAATGGAGCGCGAAGCAGAAGATGGCACAAACGTGCTTTCAAACGACCGAAGACACCAAGTGACGCCATTATTGCCTCGCTCCCGCCCTATACTCCTACGATGATGATTACGAAGATGAGGCGTCGAACAGCCCGCCCACCCTTCCCGCCATTACCAACCGTGAGCAGCCTTGCAAACCAGCCATTGCCAACAATGAACCGTAGCGCAAGCCAGATCTCAAGCAGCATCGCAGCCAGCCTTCACCAGCAGCGTGCAGCATCACCAGCAACCAGCGCCAGCGGCAAGTAGCAGCGCACGAGCAGCAAGCGACCGAACGCGAACGCACACACCACCCACCGTCGCGCCAACAGCAAGCAGCAGCGCGCGAACGCACGCGCCAGCAGCAATTGGCAGGGCGCAAGCAGCACGCAGCCAAACGCGAGCGCACGCACAACACGCCATTTCGGACGAGCCAGCATTTGTAGGACCTATGAGGTCTATTTTTATGTTTTCCGTATTGCTCAGACGTTTTCTCAAGAGACCGAGGTGAGTGGGAGAAGGAGAAGGTGGGATATTACGCGTCCTACTAGCAAAGGGGCTAGTTGGTAGGACAGGAATAGGGCACAGCAGCAGCGGAGATGGTGGCTCTGCTGCAGTAAGTCTTGCCGGAGTGGGGTATAGGGGATGGATTGGGGGTCTGAGTCTTTTAGGTGAGTGGGAGAAGTAGATGGTGGGATATCAAGCATCCTACTAGTGCGGGGGCTAGCTGGTAGGATGGAAATAGGGTACAGCAGCAACAGAGATGGTGGCTCTGTTGCCGTAAGTCTTGCCGGAGTGAGGTAAAGAGGATTGATGGGGGGCTCCTGAGTTGGTTTCTGAATTTTGTTCAATTCTGAAGTTTGTCGTAGTAATCTTCTAAGTAGCTCCAATTTTCTCTTAGCCAAAGCCGGGTAATGGCCCCGGTATCTCAAATTTTCTAAATTCGATGTTATTTTCCATATGGGACTCTGGGCCCGGTTCCCAGCACGTGCTGCTCCCCACAAATAGATTGGAGCTTTGTTCCAAAAAAAAAAAAAAAAAAAAAAAAAAAAAAGATGTGAAGCAGCACATAGTGCGAATCTACGAAAACGGGTGGGCTTTGTCTGGGGAGATAGCTGCTGCGCCGAAAAGAGGCCTTTTTCATAATGAAGGGCGCAACCTCGCCACTTACGTTGCCTCCGCCAAGGAAGTGGCTGCCTAGATGCTTCGGGTGGGACAAACTAAGGTAGAATTAGACAACAAGAAATACTCTGTCTTTTTCAAACCGTGGACGTCCGAGCAAGAATTGTGGGAGTGGCGGGAGGTGTCGAGACACCTTTTTTTTTGGATTAGATGTATGCAAGTCCCGATAGGCGCCCTCCCCCATCTCCAGAAAGCTGTGCTAGATGCATTTGGTCCTGTGATTAAGGAATTTTTGTTTTTCAAAGATCCGCTATCTCCTGATTTAATCAACATTAGGTTCGATTTGGAGTCTGCTTCCCGCCTCCGTTACAAGCGCTACTTGATAGTGGACTTGGGAAGGCAGGGATATGTCGAAATTGAGGTTGTTTGTGCTTCTACTCCGTGGTGCCCAGCTTGCAGGCGCCATTTCCACTGGGAAGGAGATCCTGACTGCTCCGCCACGAAAAAGAAAACGTATGCTGATGTAGTGAAACCGGCGAAGCATCCCTCCCCCCCCCCGACGGACAAGGAGAACGGCAAGGAGAAGGGAACACTGACCGGTAGAGGGTTGGGAGAGAAAGGGGGAAGAGGGGGAAGTGGGGGCGGGAATAGCAGGGAGGGGAGAGATAAAGAAGGAGCCGGTGGCACAAGTGGGGGG